TTACAGACACTACAGGTCTCACGAGAGTACTCATTAGAGTAAGTTTGTCAGTCACTGATTTTTCAAATCTAGTTATCCAATTTGTAGAACATTTTTCTGCCTGAACCAAGGAAATCCTACACTCCAGAAACGTTCTTTTTTAAAGTGCACATGAATTTGGTAAATTAAGTGCCTTGTCAAATCACGGCGTGAAGTGGTGGTGATTGAGTCACTTAGATGAACTCTAGGAATAAATGACAATTTATCTCAAATTCAAACGACGAACTAGTACGAATAAACCACTTGAAACGATGAGTTTGATCAGTATGTTGAGGCACTGCAAATCGTTTTCTGATACCGCTGATGTGAGATCTTGAAAGGAAATAAAAAGGCTTGTGGCAAATCACAAATTGTCGGAGCAACAATACAGCGAAATACCACAAACTTTTTCGCTTAGATAGAATAGCCTAACTCATCGTCACACAGCGCATCTAAATGAGTCCTATACTATGTCGTGAAGTGTTTGGCTGGTCTAACAAATAGCAGCAATCGCAGCCAAAATGAGGTCCACTCGTCGCAATCAATACTTTGGCTATCTTATTTCTCTAGCGTCTGGAACGCAGTTTTATACCTTCCTTGAAAGTCCTGGAGAATTCTCGTGCGCCACGCAGCAACTCTGACACTACTCACAGTTTGTTAGTAGCACAAATCTCTCCAGGGGCAGCAAGCAGATCAAACCGTACCAACCTGTGGATTTTGACGATACTTCATGCCGTAATCAGTATGATCACGGTGTTGGGCTCAGGGTGAAACGATTTATCCCAGTTTTGTGATATCGTGTTGCCTAACTTGCTATAAACAGAAACACTATCTACCTAGTCCACGTGATTAGTACAAAGCGGATAAAATGGTGACAAGCTCCACACTAGCGAAAATTGACCCCTTGCAACGTGCTTTCTCTCACTTTCAATGCTGGATTCGTAGATCCAGTCTTGGGGGAAGGCGGCACCATTTTTTATCTACCTCAGAAAATGAAGCGCGTCCCAGAAAATTCAAGTGACAAATGGATTTACTCAGCCTCGCGACATCCCTAAAAACTTCAACTGAAATCGTGTCACCTGAAAACGACCAGTAATAAGTTCTTCTCCGGGCCATCCGGATATCTAGCCACTTTGGGTGGACAGGACCTTGTGGATCATTTAACTGTGTTGTATGCCCGATCACTGGGTTTACTTGTCAGGGAGTTCCACTGATGTGTGTGTGTGTGAGCAATCGTGACGAACGATGTTTGGGGACTGCTAGCTTGGGTCAGGTGGCGACATCATTAAGGAAGTTATAATCGCGTAGGCGCATGCTTTGTGCATCAAAATTTGGCGCTTTTACTCGGTCTCTGTCAGTCCGCGTACTTGGCCCGCATAGCATATAAATGACTCTTCCTGTTCCATCAATTTAAGCCGTGTGAAACTCAAACAATGGAGAAGGTCAGTGTTGGTTAGTTTTCCAACGCCATCTGTCGAATCTTTGCCTTACACATGCAAAGGGAGGTAGATGAACAGTGTGATTGCAGGTTGGGTCCAACTCTTGACTTTCCATCCGGATTGGGAAGGCCAGGGCAGCTTTTGCGAACCTACGTCACCTGTGGCGTAGGTGTGACATCAGTTTCTCTGTCAAGGGTCGAGTTTACAATGCTGCGGTGCGCTCCATATTACTATATGGATCAGAAACCTGGCAGCTGCGCGCTGAGGACGTCAAAAGACTTTCAGTGTTTGACCATCGATGTCTTCGGAGCATTGCCTGAGTCTGGTGGGGACATCGGATCAGCACGGCTAAAGTTCGTCGAATGGTATTCGGGAAAAATAACTCACCCTCGATAGATGAACTAATCACACTGCATAGTTTGCACTGGCTTAGCCATGTGCTGCGTATGCCAGTCGACAGACATCCTCGAGGGGTTCTTTTTGCACAACCACGCGGATGGTGAAAATGAGCCAGAGATGGTCAAACAATGACTTGGCAGCGAAGTATGGAAGACATTACCAGAAAACTCAGCTGCGCTGGTCATTGCCGTCTTCCTGGATGGGGAACCCGAGACGGGCCATATCAATGGTTAGAGACATTGTCAGACATGGCCCAGTGGCGCCATCAATGGCGTTGATGCATACAAGCTATTGCCTTCAATGCATGGCCCCTTTTCCAACCCACCCCCACTTTAAGGTCAACTGACAGACCCGTATTTACGCACCAATTAATCAGCTCCGGCCTCCAATGCGCAGCTTCGTATTTACGCACCAATTTATCAGCTCTGACCTCCAATGCACAGCTACCTACCCCACCTCCCCAAATCATCGGTGGACGAAATTGTGGCAGCTAGAAACCACTATACGACAAGTATGCGGTTCTTTCAGCTGATGTTGATGATGATGACGATGATGTGTCACAGAACACTGCAGACAATTTTTCACTTACGCTGAATTGGTGTGTCGTTACTGTTTGGCGGTAGTGGGGAGGGAAATTTTGTTTAGCCCTGAGTAGTTGCCAAAGTAACCAGTAAAAATGTCAACAAAACATAGTTTAATCGAGCAGACGAAAACAGCACACGGACAGACGCAGAATGAAAGCTAAAAACCACACGCTTATTAACTCGCTAGCTCCCACTATAATGAACTAGTAACCTAGCTACATACCCACTTAACGAACCGACATATTGGTGCAAATATTACTCACTCACTCACTCACTCACTC